TCTTTTGACACCAAAGGGTGTTGGAAGAAACTTGGTCTTGGGAAGTGAGACGGGTTTCCATTTGCATTGTCTCCGATAGATTTTGGCCATGTAACATTGGGCAGGCTGTGAACCCTCTCTGTTGTTTTTTGTTTGTTTGTTTGTTGATTTTTTTTGCGGTACGCCAGCCTCTGACTGCTGTGGCCTCTGCCGCCGCGGAGCACAGGCTCTGGACGTGCAGGCTCAGCGGCCATGGCTCACGGGCCCAGCCACTCCGCGGCATGTGGGATCCTCCCAGACCGGGGCACGAACCCGCATCCCCCGCATCAGCAGGCAGACTCTCAACCACTGCGCCACCAGGGAAGCCCTGTGAACCCTCTGAATCTCCATTTTCTCAAATGTAGAACAAGGGTAAGAATGCCTATTTTAAGGTTACAGTGACTGGTAGACTAAATAGTGAAATAACAAGTAATTTTTATTCTCGTTTTCATCCCATGAATAAAATGAAAGCAAGTATCTGTTCTGTCTTGTTTCTTGTTGGGTCTTTCCAAGCATCCATGACAGTGCCTTGCACACAGCAGGCACTCAAATGTTGGTTGGATGGATAGTTGGATGGCTGGAGTGCCTTGGTTTAGTACCCAGATGACGTCTGTCAGTCTGCTTCCTCAAAGCACTGATTTTCTAAGAGAAATCTATCTTGCTAAGACCCTCCCAGGACATGTGCTCTATGTCCTTTGCAAAATCTTTTTGGATACTATGACAAGAGGAGATAGACCTTGTTACCCTGTACTGAAAATCATGGTCTTTGCTGGGCCTTTGTCAATAGCAGGGCTGGGCAACTAGCCTGTAGGCCAAATCTGGCATGTTGCCTGTTTTTGTAAATAAAGTTTTCTGTTTTTTTAAATGAATTTATTTATTCATTTATTTAGTTTTGGCTGTGTTGGGTCTTTGTTGCTGAGCGCGGGCTTCTCATTGCGGTGGCTTCTCTTGCTGCGGAGCACAGGCTCTGGGCTCACAGACTTCAGTAGTTGCCGCACGTGGGCTCAGTAGTTGTGGCACATGGGCTTAGTTGCTCCACGGCATGTGGGATCTTCTTGGACCAGGGCTTGAACTCCTGTCCCCTGCTCTGGCAGGCGGATTCTTAACCACTGTGCCACCAGGGAAGTCCTGTAAATAAAGTTTTATTGGAATGTAGCCAGGCTTATTGATTTACATGTTGTCTCTGACTGCTTTTGTGCTATAGCAGCGTTGAGCACAGAGACCGTATGGTCTTCAAAGCCTAAAATATTTTTTGTCTACCTATTTATGGAAAAAGTTTTCCAACCCTTGATATATATTTTCTGTACTCTTTACTATAACCCTGCAGGGTTGGTCTTAAGATGCTCTTGCTATGGATTGGGAAGCTAAGATTTTTTTTTAAATATTTATTTATTTGGCTGCGTTGGGTCTTTGTTGCTGCACGTAGTCTTTCTCTAGTTGTGGAGAGCTGGGGCTACTCTTTGTTGCGGTGCGGTGGCTTCTCTTGTTGCGGAGCATGGGCTCTAGGCGCACGGGTTTCAGTAGTTGTGGCACACGGGCTCAGTAGTTGTGGCTTGCGGGCTCTAGAGCGCAGGCTCAGTAGTTGTGGCACATGGGCTTAGTTGCTCCGCGGCATGTGGGATCTTCCCAGCCCAGGGATCAAACCCGTGTCCCCTGCATTGGCAGGCAGATTCTTAACCCCACTGCGCCTCCAGGGAAGTCCAGGAAGCTAAGATTCAACAGAGTTAAGTATATTAACTGAGATTGAACAATTTATAATTGTTAGGGTTTGAATCCAGGTCTGTGTGATTCCACAGCCCATAGTCCTTCCACTAAATGGTGATACCTTGCGATTAAACCAAAACCTAGCTGAACCAATTACATCTTCCAGTCCTTCCTGGTGACCATGACTGGCATGGAGAACAGTTCGATGATGTCCCCTGGAATCATGTTGGGACCTGGTAGTCCTGGCATTTGTCAGCAATCTGTTTCTGGTCTGCAATAGAAATTGTGTGAATGTATGAGTAGGTAAGAGTGGAATGAGGATTTCAGGGGCTGATACTGTCAATGGCAGAGCAGTGTGAGCACGCTGTTGTTTATCTGCAAACATAATGCTGCTCCCTAAGGGTCAGGGGGTTCAGCATTCCAGGAAGGTCCTTGTTGCTGCTGAATGTGGCATCCACTCTCATTTGGTACCTTTGATGAGAAATGCGTAATACTTGTGCATTTTCAGCACACAACCACTCAACAGAGACTTTCACTGGCCCAGGCTATGAGACTGTTAAGAGTTTGGGGCATCCACACTTGCCCACTGCTACCATGCCCTTATTGGCAGATCTGACTCCAAAAACTGGAGATGAAAGTTCTGTCACAGTGAATTAAGCCTGGTGGAAATTTGATTGTTTCAAGGGTTTCCAGATGAAGTTCTATGGCTCTTCTGTTAATTCCTCCATCAGCCCATTATTGCTAATTCTCACTTGACTTTCACCCTTCCAATTAATTTTTCTAAGCTTGTAAACTGGCTATGATCAAATAAAAGAAACAAAATTGGGAAAATTAGCTATTCGTGCTTTAACTGACTGCATAGCAGTGTTTGTCTTGAAACTGAGAGAAACTGACGATAACCATAACAGCACAAAATTATAGCCACCCAACTGGAAGTAACACAGTTGGGTAATTTATCCACCTGTCAAAGGAGGTACTAATGAAAAATGGCTGTAGTGTGCATCAATTTTCATATAAAAGTGGGGTATTGTAATTTGGGGATAGAAGAATTAGGAGGGCTTAATGTTCTTTCCGATAGTCTGGTTTTGTTCTTTGTGGCCAGCGTTAGTGGGAGTGTCTGGTACTCTCTCTCTCAATCTGTGGGAGTGTCTGGTACTCTCTCTCTCAATCTGTCATGGAGCTGCTGATGGAGGATTCCATGGAAAAGCTGCAGGGTACACAGGAAGGAATCAGAGCTATAATTAACTTTCTGTTTCACTGTGTTCTGCAACATGACCCTTATTCCTCCAGTGACGAAATCCCGTAGTCTTACCCTGTGGCTTTCATACTCTCTAAAGTCAATGAATCTTTCAGTTTATGCTGAAAATATAAAACAGATAAAAATGGGGCTGCTCTGGTTTAAGTGAGGGTGGAGGAACCTGGTAAAACTAAGTAACATTTCATTTGTTGTGCCAGTGTAACTCTGTGGGGAAATACTGGGTTGATTAAAATTCTTGATCTATTGTTTAATATTTAGAGTGAATGCTTCTTACAGAAAAATAGATTTCTCTTTGTAGCCCTTTTGGTTTATTCCTAACATATTTTAGAGCCCAGTTATTTTTTTCTTAAGCTTCAAAATATACAAATAGTTCTCAAGCCATTGTTTTCGTCTTTCACTTGATGCCAGGTACTTCTCATGGATCAAAGCCGTTGATGGTTTGTTTGTATTTCTGTCTTGGAAACATGTTTATATGGAATCTAAAAAAAAAGAAATGGTTCTGAAGAACCTGGGGGCAGGACAGGAATAAAGACAGACATAGAGAATGGACTAGAGGCATGGGGAGGGGGAAGGTTAAGCTGGGACGAAGTGAGAGAGTGGCATGGACTTATATACACTACCAAATGTAAAATAGATAGCTAGTGGGAAGCAGCCACATAGCACAGGGAGATCAGCTCGGTGCTTTGTGACCACCTAGAGGGGTGGGATAAGGAGGGTGGGAGGGAGATGCAAGAGGGAGGAGGTATGGGGATATATGTATATGTATAGCTGATTCACTTTGTTCTACAGCAGAAACTAACACACCATTGTAAAGCAATTTTACTCCAATAAAGATGTTAAAAAAAAAAAAAAAAAAAGAATCCATCGCAGGAACTTCCATGGTGGCGCAGTGGTTAAGAATCCGCCTGCCAATGCAGGGGAAATGGGTTCGATCCCTGGTCCAGGAAGATTCCACATGCTGTGGAGCAACTAAGCCCGTGCTCCACAACTACTGAGCCTGCGCTTTAGAGCCCGTGAGCCACAACTACAGAGGCCGCATGCCACAACTACTAAGCCCATGTGCCACAACTACTGAACCCCGCGTGCTCTAGGGCCTGCGTGTGGAAACTACTGAGCCTGTGGGCTGCAACTACTGAAGCCCTCCCACCTAGGGCCTGTGCTTCGTGACAAGAGAAGCCACTGCAAGAAGAAGCCCGTGCACCACAATGAAGAGTAGCCCCCTCTCGCCACAACTAGAGAAAGCCTGTGCAGCAACGAAGACCCAGCGCAGCCAAAAATAAAATAAATAAAAAAATAAAAATAATCCATCACAAAATTTCGGTCTCCCTGATGGAGAAGACTAAAGGGCAAATTCATAAATTATAAGTGATTATTGAACAATTTGAATTGGGGGAGAAATTGACAAGTGCATCAAATTTCAGTTTATATCCATGAGGCAGAGTAGTGGTGGTGAGGCCCTCACTTGCCAGGTGGGGGAGAGGAATGAGCAAGGCATAGAAATCTAAATAAACAGTGTTTTCTAGAGTTATACACCCCAGGTGTACTGAGTACAGGCAATTATATTACTTCTAGAAAGAGCAAGGCGTGTTCATGGACTGGTACTATGTGATGATTAATTCACCAAAACAGTTGTTTGAGAGTCCTTGTGTATGTTTTCTCTGTAGCCATCCTAAGAAAATGAGCTGCTGATATGCTATGATTGTTTTTTTTTTGGGGGGGGCGTCGCACAGCGCGGCTTGAGGAATCTTAGTTCTCCGACCAGGGATCGAACCCCCTGCAGTGGAAGTGTGGAGTCCTAACCCCTGGACCGCCAGGGAATTCCCATGATATGCTATGATTTCTGCACAGCTTTTTTTTTTTCTTTTGGCTGTGTTTTTAAAAATCCATGTGCAGTTTCATTATTGGTCATAGTTTTGTGTACGTGTGTGGCGGCATTTGGGGTGGGTGTACATAAGGCTTGGATCACTTGACTGCCAGCGTTGCTGAGCTCACATGTTGTCCTTATTTATGTGTTTGCCAGGGAGAAATGCCTGCTGCCTCTCCAGTTGGCTTTGGAATCCAAGAATGTGAAGCTGGCCCAACATGCCTTGGCAGGGATACAGGTATGGCTCTTGAGTGCAACAGGATGACAGAAATTGACAGACCACTTTGGCATTGAAAGAGCAAATAGTTAACATTCTAAATACTAGCTGTTTACAGACCCAGACAAACATTTGATGGAACTGGGTAATAACCAGAGAAGATAACAGGATTTTCTTGTATTTACCAGCATTTCTCTGTGTACAGCATTATCTTGCTAAGCATTTGTTGTTCAGAAACTGACTCATGGAGACTCAGCTAAGCCCACACAGAAATGAAATGGTTTTTGTGACACCAAACTTTTAACAGAGTAAGGGCTTCCAAGAGAGATGCTTCCAGTTCTATACCAACTCAAATCTTATATGCATTCAAGTTCTCTGGGTCTGTGTCATGAGCAATGATGGTAAGCTGGAAAGAGTTTGTTTTGTTTTCTGTTCTACAGTTAGGTTGGCAAATGGATTAATGTGTTTTGTTTCCAGAACAAGCTTGGGAAGAAGAAAGAAATTTTGTGTAGTCAGAAAAGTCAGATTGCATTTCCTGCTCTGAGCATTTGTTCATTTTGTTTTACATCGTACATAATAGGTCTAATTCCAAAGGTGCAAAGTTGTTGGCTGTATAGATACATTGATTTCTTAAGTGGTTTGGTATGTGAATGACAAGTACTGTGGAGTTCAAGCCTACGGGGTATTCTTTCAGCATGACCAGGGATTGGTGGCATTTGTTGGATGTCTTCTCACATTACTGTTTCATCATTAGCTCTTTGAGTTCAGAGAGGCCTCTAATACCTTTAGAGAAATAAATATGAAAGAGTAAGAAATTACAACTCTTTTTTTCCCTAGAAGATTGGAATTAGAGGATGTATATCTCAATATGCAATAGCATTAGAAATTCTTAAACATTTAAAAAAATTTTAAACAAACAATGAAAACTCTTCTTTTCTCCAAAGTAATTGGGCCAACTTTAAAAATGAATGGGGGACTTCCCTGGTGGCGCAATGGTTAAGAATCCGCCTGCCAATAGGGAACACGAGTTCGAGCCCTGGTCCGGGAAGATCCCACATGCCATGGAGCAACTAAGCCTGTGCGCCACAACTACTGAGTTTAGAGCCAGCAAGGCACAACTACTGAGCCCATGTGCCACAACTGCTGAAGGCCACACGCCTAGAGCTCGTGCTGCGCAACAAGAGAAGCCACCGCAGTGAGAAGCCCACGCACGGCAATGAAGAGTAGCCCCTGCTCGCTGCAACTAGAGAATGCCCTTGCACAGCGACGAAGACCCAACGCAGCCAAAACTAAATTAATTAATTAAAAAATAAAATGAATGGAAGTTGGTTTTGACCTGCCAGTATGTTCCCTTTTCTTTAGTAGTATATAGATTTTCCATTTAGTTACTTTTTTTTTTTAACCCTCACACACTCTCAGTTACAGTATCATGTTTTCAATAACCGTGGGAACTTCACTGATCTGGGGGGCAGGGAGTCTTCCTCTCAGCATCCCTTGTGACCTCCCATTAACTTAAGGCATTTTTAAAGAGCTTTGTAGTCTTTATCACTTTAAGTAAAAACAGGTTTGTATATAAACTAACTCTGGGCTGCCCTACATATATTACAGGAGAGTCAAAAATCTCTTTTGAGAGAATACCTCAGAGATATTGTGGGTTCAGTTCCAGACCACCATAATAAAGCAAATATTAGAGTGAGCCACATGAAGTTTTTGATTTTCCAGGGCATATACAAGTTACGTTTACACTATACTGTAGTCTCTTAAGTGTGCAATAGCATTATGTCTAAAATATGCACATACCTTAATTTAAAAATACCTTATGGATAAAAAATGCCAACATCATTTGAGCCTTCAGTCAGCTGTAGCAGTAACATCAAAGATCACTGATCACAGATCATCGTAACAAATATAGTAATAATGGAAAGGTTTAAAATATTACCAGAATTACCAAAATGTGACATAGAGACACGATGTGGGCAAATGCTATTGAAAAAATGGGGCCAATAGACTCGATTGACGCACGATTGCCACAAACCTTCACTTTATAAAAAACACAGTACCTGTGAAGTGGAGTAAAGCTAAGTGCAATAAAATGAGGTATAGCTGTATAGACAAATTCAGGGAGTCCTAAGAAGTAGGTTTAAAATACTTGTTTTCCGGATCTGCAGTGACATTCAGCTAGAAGAGGGAGTCATTACCCTGGATGAATCAGAATTCCAAAAATTCTTCATGGCTGCAACCCTGTGCTGCATCGGACAAGGACAAATTTAATAGGGATAAATATAAAATCCATCCTACACTGGGGTCTCAAAAATCAATTGCCCCAGGACAGAATAGGGAAGACAGCTTAACTGCAGCCCTTGTGAATGAGAAGTTTCTGGGTGAGTCAGCACAGAATGTGCTGTCACTTAGAACTAAGCTAATTTGATCTGAGAATGTGATTAAACTTCTGCATTACCGTTTTTTGTTTGGTTTTAGGCAATAAACAGATTTAATTATCTTACACAACTAGAATTATAGAGGTAAGCAATTCCAGGTTTGGAATAGGAGCGCAATGGTGCCACCAAAGACCGCATTTCTTTCCCCTCTGCCATCTTTTTATTCTTCTTCTTCTTAAAAGACTTTTTTTTAGAGCAGTTTTAGGTTTAGAGTAAAATTGAGAGGAAGGTGCAGAAATTTCCCATATACTCCCTCCCCCCACACATGCATAGCCTCCCACAGCATCAACATCACTCCCAGAATGGTACTTTTTTTTTTTAACCAAGGATGAACCTACGTTGACACATCATAATCACCCAAAGTCCATACATTTACCTTCATATGCACTCTCGGGTGCCCCCGCTCTGTACCAGAAGACCACCCTTGAAGTGTTACATGCACACTGGAGGCCACATGTTAAGGAGAATGTCTGTGAAACCATATCACGCAGAGAACATCCGATGGCTCCCGAGGAGGTTTAGTGTGGAGAAGAAAAGATTCAGGTGGACTTCGTAGCTGACTTGAGATATTTTAGAAGCTTAATCTGCATGACTCCAGGGACAGATGAGGGCATAGAGGTGGTAGGCAGTGGGGTTTTGGTACAATCTCAGAAAGAATTTTATGAAAGGTAAGAATTGTTCTCAAATAGTGGAGAGCTATTCTGCAAGATGTAATGACTTCTGGGAGACCTCATGAAAGTGACTGTCGTCTTGTGTAGGTTTCTGTGGGATTGATTTTCTGATGGAATGGTATTAAGATTTGTAGATTCATGAATAATTCCTGGGTAAATGACAGCTCACATTTAGGAAGTACAAAGGTAAATATTTGAAAAATTAACTTGTCTCCAGGACCTTCTTTCCTGTGACAAAGCTACATTCAGAACGGGCAAGTGTAGGGCTTCCCTGGTGGTGCAGTGGTTAAGAATCCGCCTGCCATTGCAGGGGACACGGGTTCAAGCCCTGGTCTGGGAAGATCCCACATGCTGCGGAGCAACTAAGCCCGTGTGCCACAACTACTGAGCCTGCTCTCTAGAGCCCACGAGCCACAACTACTGAGCCCGCGCGCCTAGAGCCCGTGCTCTGCAACAAGAGAAGCCACCGCGATGAGAAGCACAAGCACTGCAATGAAGAGTAGCCCCCACTCGCCACACTAGAGAAAGCCCGCGCGCAGCAACGGAGACCCAACACAGCCAAAAATAAACAGATTAAAAAATTAAAAAAAAAAAAAAAAAAGCAAGTGTGAATGTTGTGAGGGGCCACATTCCCCTTGGCACATTCGTCCTCCATCCCCACCAACCAAATGACCTATTTGGCCACCACGTTAGAACTGCACTTCATAAAATTTAGAGTGAATTATCTAATAGCAAGAAAAAGCCTTTGCCAAAAACCGTTTACCAAAGGCTTGGTGCATTTTTCTTTTTAATGGCACATAGCAGCTCCTCCTAATGGCCTCCAGCTATATGCCTCCACAGTAAGAAACATTATCCTCAGTACATGCTAAGCTACAACAGAATGAGGCAGCAGGGGAAAGCCTATCTGATCACTGCCTTGTGCCTCTTTACAGAAGCTTCTGGCGGAAGAGAGGTTTGTATCCATGGAAACGGACTCTGATGAGAAGCAGCTGCTCAATCAGATCCTGAACACCGTGAAAGTGACGCCTTCCCTCCACGAAGACCTGCAGGTGGAAGTGATGAAGGTGGGTTGGATGCGGCTCCCAGTTTGCGTCACTGGGACGGGAACAAACGCTGATGCTCCCGCCCTCATTGTTATCCTGAAAATGCCTCCGCATGGTGGTTTGGAATACATGGTTATTATCCTTGCTTAGGGTGCCCTAGAATAACCTTGATCATTGAACGGAAATGACAACGATCATTTCTGTTCAACATAAATAAAAGGTACGATTTCAATAAATCCGTAAGATTTTTGGCCTGATCTTGCATATCAAATGTTGTTAGGAAATGTTTCTGTGACCGTTTGAGAGAATGTATGTGAGTAGTTGCAGCTTGGGGTAGATCTGATCATTCTAGGCATTCTGCCTGCCTGTATATGGTAAAACAAAGCAAAGATCTAATGATGTTTTGACATATACTCAGGTTTTAGAATAGTCAGTTTAAGGGAAGGGAGACCATCCTTGGGAGCCATATCAGAATCACAGCTTTATTTCCGTCCTCAAATTATGCGAACCTTATCTCCCACATGGGATAGCGTCTCTCCCATCCCCTTTCCTCCTTTTTCCCCTCCTGTGAGTGAACAGTGAGTTGGGCAGAAAAGGATGGAAATCTCTATCCCAGAACAGCACCTTGGTCAGAGTAACACAGCTGGAACCCATGAGGTGGCTTTTGATCACGTCATCTGTCCATTTCCTCCCTAGAGGAGTGTGTGTAGAGAAATGTGTAAGAGTAGTTGCTGTCATATAATGGTTGATTTCTTCCTGGAAATGCACTGAAGGATTTTTATCTTCGATAAGAGATGTCACTTTTCTAGCTTTCAGTTTCTCCATTGAGAAGAGAAAAGATCACCTTCAATCATGACATTGTCTTAATGACCTGCGTCTCCCCCTAGCCCTGTTGGTAGGTAATTTAGTGTAGTGATTAAGAGCTCAGACTTGGAGCCAGCCTGTCTGGCTTTGAATACTTACTCACTTCCTAGTTGGATTTCCTTGGACAGATTCCTGAACCACTCTGTGCTTTGGTCTCCTCATCTGGAGAATGGGGGAAATAGAAGCACCTACCCAATAGGACTATTGTGAGGATTAAGTAAGGTGCTAGTTGTAAGGAATTTAGCACAGTATCTGGTCCAAAGCAAGTGCTTTAGAAGTGTTGAACATTACTATTTCTATTCCTACCACTTCGGCTACCACTGTGTACTGCTGCTGAGTCATAATCTCAGTGGGTGGGTCTAGGAATATTGTTATACACAGTAAACACTGAGAATCTCTGAGCTAGCTGATCTTTAAGCTCTCATTGACTTTAACTCTCTTTGATTCTGGAATGTCCAGTTTTGCCTTATCCTTTGACATACATTGGGCAGCTGTGCATTCCTAGGAACCGAAGAGTAACTGCCTCTTAGATTTGTTTTACTTTTCTGCTACCTCTGTGCCACCATTGAGAGAGGCAAGGCCGACTGCCATGTTCATCACTTTTATGACTTTCAAGTCTAGCCTGTTGATCCTTCTTCCACTAATAGGTCTCCAAATACTGGACGTTGAGCGTTGATGTCATACTAAGAGACACACCTTACAGATTTCATATTATTCTGGAAATTCTCTCAGGAATACAGCTTTTCATGGAAAACAGGAATTTGTATTAAAAATTAAAATGAGAAAGTACCTATTCTTCTAGGAGCTATGGAGGACAGCAGGATGTTTAATGGTTATGTCAACAGAAACACCTGTTTTAAAAACTTACACTTGCTTCCTAATTCCAGCCCAGTTGTGCCTTCTGCTAGCCTTGCTGAGGACAGGAGTTGACACATGTTAGCTCTGCTGGAAATCCTGGAAAGCCTGTCTTAATGGACTTTCTAATGATACTATACTAGACTGTGGTACTTGTAGTTAATGTCTGGGACTACATCAGACATTGTCAGAAAAAAAGAAAAACAATAATCTGGACTGCCATTCTTCATAATTAGATATCCAAAAGCTTTTTAAAACATAAGGGCCTTTGGTACATGCTGTTGGTATTGGGAAAAAATATTTCAATTCACGATAAACCTAGCCTTAACATAGTTTTTTTGTAGTATACTTTTATTTTAGACAAACATTTTTGGCCAAGCAGCTAGGAAATTAATGCTGAGAAAACTGTACTTTACAGTAATATTATTATTATTATTTTTAACATCTTTATTGGAGTATAATTGCTTTACAATGGGGTGTTTGTTTCTGCTTTATAACAAAGTGAATCAGTTATACATATACATATGTCCCCATATCTCTTCCCTCTTGCATCTCCCTCGCTCCCACCCTCCCTATCCCACCCCTCTAGGTGGTCACAAAGCACCGAGCTGATCTCCCTGTGCTATGCGGCTGCTTCCCACTAGCTATCTATTTTATGTTTGGTGTGTATGTATGTCCATGGCACTCTCTCACTTTGTCCCAGCTTACCCTTCCCCCTCCCCGTATCCTCAGGTCCATTCTCTAGTAGGTCTGCATCTTTATTCCCATCTTGCCCCTACGTTCTTCATGACCATTTTTTTTTTCTTAGATTCCATATATATGTGTTAGCATACGGTATTTGTTTTTCTCTTTCTGACTTACTTCACTCTGTATGACAGTATCTAGGTCCATCCACTTCACTACAGATAACTCAGTTTCATTCCTTTTTATGGCTGAGTAATATTCCATTGTATATATGTGGCACATCTTCTTTATCCATTCATCTGTTGATGGACACTTTGGTTGCTTCCGTATCCTGGCTAGAGCTGCATTGAACATTTTGGTACATGACTCGTTTTGAATTATGCTTTTCTCAGGGTATATGCCCAGTAGTGGGATTGCTGGGTCATATGGTAGTTCTATTTGTAGTTTTTTAAGGAACATCCATACTGTTCTCCATAGTGGCTGTATCACTTTACATTCCCACCAACAGTGCAAAAGGGTTCCCTTTTCTCCACACCCTCTCCAGCATTTACTGTTTGTAGATTTTTTGATGATAGCCACTCTGACCGCTGTGAGGTGATATGTCATTGTAGTTTTGATTTGCATTTCTCTAATGATTAATGATGTTGAGCATTCTTTCATATGTCTGTTGGCAATCTGTATATCTTCTTTGGAGAAATGTCTATTTAGGTCTTCTGCCCATTTTGCATTCGGTTGTTTGTTTTCTTGATATTGAGCTGCATGAGCTGCTTGCAAATTTTGGAGATTAATCCTTTGTCAGTTGCTTCATTTGCAAATATTTTCTCCCATTCTGAGGGTTGTCATTTCATCGTTTTTATGGTTTCCTTTGCTGTGCAAAAGCTTTTAAGTTTCATTAGGTCCCATTTGTTTATTTTTGTTTTTATTTCCATTTCTCTAGGAGGTGGGTCAAAAAGGATCTTGCTGTGATTTATGTCATAGAGTGTTCTGCCTATGTTTTCCTCTAAGAGTTTGATGGTGTCTGGCCTTACATTTAGGTCTTTAATCCATTTTGAGTTTATTTTTGCGTATGGTGTTAGGGAGTGTTCTAATTTTATTCTTTTACATGTAGCTGTCCAGTCTTCCCAGCACCACTTATTGAAGAGGCTGTCTTTTCTCCACTGTATATTCTTGCCTCCTTTATCAAAGATAAGGTGACCATATGTGCGTGGGTTTATCTCTGGGCCTTGTATCCTGTTTCACTGATCTATATTTCTGTTTTTGTGCCAGTACCATATTGTTTTGATTACTGTAGCTTTGTAGTATAGTCTGAAGTCAGGGAGTCTGATTCCTCCAGCTCCGTTTTTCTTTCTCAAGATTGCTTTGGCTATTCGGGGTCTTTTGTGTTTCCATACAAATTGTGAAATTTTTTGTTCTAGTTCTGTGAAAAATGCCAGTGTTAGTTTGATAGGGATTGCATTGAATCTGTAGATTGCATTCCGTAGTATAGTCACTTTCACAATGTTGATTCTTCCAATCGAAGAACATGGTACATCTCTCCATCTATTTGTACCATCTTTACTTTCTTTCATCAGAGTCTTATAATTTTCTGCATACAGGTCCTTCGTCTCCTTAGGTAAGTTTATTCCTAGATATTTTATACTTTGTGTTGCAGTGGTAAATGGGAATGTTTTCTTAATTTCACTTTCAGATTTTTCATCATTAGTGTATAGGAATGCAAGAGATTTCTGTGCATTAATTTTGTATCCTGCAGCTTCCCCAAAATCATTGATTAGCTCTAGTAGTTTTCTGGTAGCATCTTTAGGATTCTCTATGTATAGTATCATGTCATCTGCAAACAGTGACAGCTTTATTTCTTCTTTCCCAATTTGTGTTCCTTTTATTTCTTTTTCTTCTCTGATTGCTGCAGCTAAAACTTCCAAAACTATGTTGAATAATAGTGGTGAGGTGGGCAACCTTGTCTTGCTCCTGATCTTAGTGGAAATGGTTTCAGTTTTCACCACTGAGGACGATGTTGGCTGTGGGTTTGTCATATATGGCCTTTATTATGTTGAGGAAAGTTCCCTCTATGCCTACTTTCTGGAGGGTGTTCATCATAAATGAGTGTTGAATTTTGTCGAAAGCTTTCTCTACATCTATTGAGATGATCATATGGTTTTTCTCCTTCAATTTGTTAATATGTGTAGCACGTTGATTGATTTGCATATATTGAAGAATCCTTGTGTTCCTGGGATAAACCCCACTTGATCATAATGTATGATCCTTTTAATGTGCTGTTAGATTCTGTTTGCTAGTATTTTGTTTAGGATTTTTGCATTTATGTTCATCAGTGATATTGGCCTGTAGTTTTCTTTCTTTGTGACATCTTTGTGTGGTTTTGGTATCAGGGTGATGGTGGCCTTGTAGAATGAGTTTGGGAGTGTTTCTCCCTCTGCTATATTTTGGAAGAGTTTGAGAAGGATAGGTGTTAGCTCTTCTCTAAATGTTTGATAGAATTTGCCTGTGAAGCCATCTGGTCCTGGGCTTTTGTTGTTGGAAGATTTTTAATCACAGTTTCAGTTTCAGTGCTTGTGATTGGTCTGTTCATCATATTTTCTGTTTCTTCCTGGTTCAGTCTCGGA